CAAAACAGCCCGCACTCTCTCCCTCTTTTTACACTCACTCATGTCTGCCATCTTGACTTTTTTGAAACTCTCTCTCTCTCTCTCTCTCTCTCTCTCTCTCTCTCTCTCACACACACACACACACACACACACACAGATGCCTCTGACTGGGGGAAATTTGGATAAATCCAATTTTCTGCCCCAAACCTGGGCATTAATTTCAAAAGGCCATTTGTGCCCATTACCAAAGAAAAGTATTAAAAGTCATTAAGAGATGCTTCTAGAAAGAACTGTTTTTTATTACCTTGTTTTGCTGGAGCAATGTAAGCACCACGAACCATTCTTCTGTCCCAAGTCACTACTTTCTGGGAGCATGGAAGAGCAGATCCCAACCTTGTAAGCTCCACAACTGCTAACAGTGATTTCCCAGTAATGCCATCCTTGGGCAGGCAAGAGCTCACCCAATACTGGTGAGATTCTGCACGAACAAATGACAAAGAGAAATGGCATTGCCATTCAGAAACACCATGCTGGCTCAAACATCAAAGAGGTCTCCAGTGTCCTAGATTTTCACCATAACCTTAGCAGTGTCTAGGGTGAGAGAGAACCCTTTTCTTCTTTCCAAACCAATGAAAGGATAGAAATAAATAATGTAAAAGGACTGTGATGTCTGTCAGCAGGACAACATTATGAAAACATAATGGAACAAGACCAAATCTGGTGCGTGGAGTAAAGAAGTCAGCAAAAGGGCCTTCTCTGCGGTAGCCCCCGCTCTTTGGGACATTCTGCCCCTGGAGGTGTGATTCCTCCGTAGGGCTTTGAAGACCTGGTTCTGCCACTTGGCCTGGGGTGGGGAGGGAATACCTCAAGCCTGGGGATGGCTAGCCCCATAGTGGCCTGCTGTCTTCAGCCCCAGATTTTTCATCTTCTTGGACTCTCCTTTCCCTTTTTTAGAAATGTTTTTAAATTGATGTTTTATGTATTTATATATATTTATGGTTTTAATGTTCTGTGTGAGTCGCCCAGAGTTCCCCCATTGGGGGGAGATGGGCGGGGGAGAAATTTAATGATGTTTTATGTATTTATATATATTTATGGTTTTAATGTTCTGTGTGAGTCGCCCAGAGTTCCCCCATTGGGGGGAGATGGGCGGGGGAGAAATTTAATGATGTTTTATGTATTTATATATATTTATGGTTTTAATGTTCTGTGTGAGTCGCCCAGAGTTCCCCCATTGGGGGGAGATGGGCGGGGGAGAAATTTAATAAATAAAAATAAAATAAAAAGACTGAGTTCAATACGTTCTCTGAGTTCTGTGGCCCAATCCAAAGAAAAAAATCCAGATAAAATTCCCCAACTGCAGGTGGGCAGTAGCTTAGAATGTGGTTTGTTCCATCCCTAAAACTCCCTCCCTCCTGGTCATGTGGCTCAGAGGGGAACCGTCCACCCTGGCCTCTCAGGGCACACACATGCTCACAGATAGAAATAGATACATATGAGTGGAGAGTAGAAACATACAGACACACCTATGCACCCAACTTAATTACACACACACACACACACACACACACAGAGGCAACATGTATATCTCCATTCTAGCCCCTCTCTCACACATACACAATATATCTGTATGCACCCAGATCAGACCCTCCCTGACACTAACACACAGAGGCAACACATAATCACACACCCTGAGTCATCTCTGGAGAGAAAGTTTACACAGACGCAATATGTTACTTCATTACACAGAAGAAAAATACAGGCACTTCCTATGGCCACTGCTGGTAACGGGTAGAAAAGAATTCCAGAGGTCTCCTCCAACATGGTTTTTTTTTTCCCAAGTCAACAGAAAGTGGGAAAGAAGCTATACCAAGGGGCTCAGGACTCTGTCAACAGGACAACTCTCCAAGAACAAACAGAACTGGACCACAACTGGGGGTGGGGGTGGGGTGGCAGAGACGCTGGCAGAAGAAAGGTTGGGTTTAAAAATCCCCCTCAGATTCCTCCAGTTCATCTCTCTGGGAGAGGCAATTGGGCATGGATTTGGAATACTGCTATTAGAATGAAAGCCCCCCCGTCTCTCCTCATCACACAACCCAGAGTAGAGTGTGTGTAGCCTTCCATGTGCTTCCCAAGTGATATACACATGCATGAATGCATCATGGGGGGATAGCAAAAGTGCACCCACAGATGCAACATGTTATTTCATTACACGGACAAAATAGAAACATCCTCCACTTGGTAAAGGGATCGGAAGGAATCCCAGAAGGCTTGCCCTGCATTCTTCCTCTATCTTGTTTACTAGCTGTGATACACAGAGAAAGGCTTAGATGGTTCTGCAGTGTGTCATAAACATGATCTTGCTCAAGACCACAAGCAACCACAGGTGCTATTTAAAGGACAAAAACAACTTGTGTAAAACCGAGGTCTTAAGGGACAGTCAGTGCTGCTGGCTGGCTGGGGAGGGGCCCAGGCTGATGCGCCAAAGGCAGTGAAGACACCCGTCTCAAAAGAAAAAAAAGAACACCCAGAAATCATTTGGATATTTTGATGGATTTACATGCATCCAAATGAAAGTTTCCTTAAATTCAGACAATTTAGCAAAGAAAAGGACCACCCAACTGTTCAGTAAGGCTTTTAAAAGATGACAATGTGTACTCTTTTTTAAATAACCTGAAGTGCAACAAAAGAGAGAAAGAGAGAGAGAAAGAGTTTTCCTTCTATTGAGGAAGTCTGTGTTCTTTTCTACGGTCTCTAATCCACACATCCTGTTGAAAATAACATGCAATAGAAAGAGCATGAATCAGTGGCACTTACCCAGCAAGGTTAGTATCATCCAGAAGGCTTATCATGGTTCCATTGGGTGATACTTGCAGTACAGGGTGAACAATTTCTCTCATTATCTGAAATCTTGTTCCTATTGTAATTCAAAAGCAAAAAATAAACACCATTTCATGGACAAGTGAAATGACTGTTCGCAGTGTATCGTAAAAACTTAAAAGCTATAGCAATCACGATCACTGAAACAATATTTTGTAAGATTGGTAGACCTCCCCACTTCTTTTTCCATTAAGCATTCAGAAATAAGGGGTTTAAAAGCCAAGTCTAATTCACCAGCACAATGTTGCTGCTGTTTTCATCCGAGTCAATGGAAAAGTCATCCCATTTTCCCAGACTGAGGGTTTGATCTGAACTTAGAAACTTGGATTCATTCTGCTAACTATCAGATCCACTCCTAGAACACTACGCTCAAAGGCAGAGCATACTCCTTCAGCACTGAAGAACAAGGAAAAAGGTTCATATTTTCCTCATATGTGCATGAGGAAGGCAGTATAAACAAATGATTCACAAGAAAAGTTCATCTTTTTTTCATTTGCACCTTACCCTAATATGCAGAGGTTATGTGCACAATTTTCCCCAATTTTTTTTAAAAAATGTGAATTTGTACAATACCATTCCAATGTAATATTATTTTTATATAAGTTTCCCAGTTGAGGCTTTTTACATGTAAACTTACAGAAAGTAAGCTCTTTTTTAAAATGTAAATACTAAGCCTGGGAAGTTGAAAAAGCACCCCAAAAGAAAGTCAATGGCAAACTCCTTCGGCACTTCCATGAAGTCACCAGGAGTTCAGTTCAACTCAAAGGAGATGTTATCTTTTTTCCCTTATGTGCTTCCTTTCTAAACATAAACATCCTCATTATAGGCTTGTTTTTTCATATACATCAGAAACAGACACTCCTCTTCAGACGCACTTATTCATTACATACTGATTTTGGACTAGAGAAAGATGAACAGCAGGGCCTTCCACTAGAGGCTGCCCTGCATTTTTTTAAAGATTGGTAGGCCTCACAAAAGAAATCCTCGCAAATTTCTGCACAGAAATTTGTGAGGATTTCTTTTACACACCTATCTCTGGATACAAATGGTCTGCATTTAAGGAATCCTAATGCTACAGGAATAACTAGAGGAAAACCAGACTGGGCCATAGTTTGTGGATAATAAAAGAAAACGAAGATCAATTTGGGAATGTTAGGTAAAAGCTCATGAGTTCACATCTATCAATATATATTTTTTTCTTGCATCACCGTGAAACATTCTCACAGTCTCTGAAAGGACAGCCAATTGAATCAATGACCATTAACCAATTTACATCTGAAACGTAAAGTATCTGGAAAGAAAGCAAGATAGTATTCACCCCCAGCTCATATAGAATATATATGTGTATGTTTAATTTGCTTCTGATAAATGTCGGGAATAACAGCATCCAGGAAAACAATTAATCCCCCTTCTTCAGATTCACAGCCCTCAAATACTATTTATGCTCCTAAAACAATGAAATGACCCATCATTAACCTCCTACTTCTCATTTAGCTATTGTGCACATTGCAATTAAGTCAAACAGTCAAGGTTAAACCATTAAAACCAATGCTGCCTTGTGTACCTTTTTCCCCTTCAGTTGTTCTCCAAAGATTTCTAGTCATAATGCTTTATTGTATGTTGATATAAATGTAGCACTTTGTTTTATCTTTTGCATCCGTGTGCACAATCTACCCACTCCCAGGGTGGCATACTTCTAATGTTTGAAGCATTCTAACATTACATTTTGAGGAATCAGTTTGCTAGTAAATATAACATATGAAGCAGCCTTTTTTATTATTTCTTTGTATTTCTCCACATCCTTACTAAATGCAAACTTCCTGACAATCTATGCATCAAACATTCCATCAAGTGGAAAGTACCATGTGCCATGAGCCAATCCTACATGTTTGTATCTCTATGTACACTTAGCAAGAAAGACAGGGAAAAAAAAAAGACAAATCTGATATAATCATTCCAAAGTTCCACAAGCCTGATTTTAGAGCAAATGGCTTCATTATTCCATCAGATGTCTTCCCAGAAATAATTGAATTACAGTTCATTTTAATCAGCTTTAATCATATGGCTTTTGGGCCTCCAATGGATCTGAATATACTGAGCTTTTTCTGGAAACCAAATCCTGTAAAATACACTATATGCAAGAAATCATACTAATGTTTGCACATTTTCACTATTTCTTTAAAGTTTTCCCTGGTTTATCTACCTTTTGTTGAAATCAGAGCAGCTTCACTCTGTTCACTTGTTCCAAAGGCATTAACTGCTCTCACATAGAAGAAATAGTTTATGTTTGATTCTAGGTGAACCTTTATTTCAGGCTGTCGAATTCCAGCTAGAGATCTGAAAAAGCAGTAATATATATGGTCAACATATGCTGAATCTTATATAAAAAGAGTCTGGTTTTTTCCCTTCAAAATCCTCCCCGTCCCCTTCAAAACAGAACAACAAATGACAGAAGCTGGATCCCTTCTCCTATGGAAAAGACAAGGAAGGAGGCAGAAATTTGGGGGGGGGGGTTATAAATATGATGTTGATAATTACAATATTGGTTGAGCATACCAAAAACTTAAAGAGGAGTGAATTGGTGAGTATCTTCATTACAATAAACAGGAAGATCAAAACTGGGATCAAATACTTGCCCTCCAAATGATTTCCAATAGATGATTCCCAATTATTTAACAGTTCCACAGCATCTCTCTTTCACACACACCCCTACGCAGCATTTTGCCCAGCCATATTACTGGAACAAAGAAAGTCTGCAATAATTGGGGCTGAATTTTTATATGCGATGCCTGAGAAGTCTATATTAGATGGAATTTGTGGGAGATCCATGATGCAATCCAGAACGATTCCAGAAGGAGTTTACTTTCAGGCAAGATCACTATTGTCGTATTTCACTAGTATCTGTATTTCATTAATCAGCTGATAATGCTGATCAACTGACTAGTAGTGGCACGAATGAGTGGGGTTTGGCAAGATGCCAAGGCTACATCCTTTGAAGCTAAAGCTCAGATGTAACTTGCTTTATTCTTTTACCAACATAAGATAAGGGAGCTAACGTTAATGTAAGAATGCAGCACAAGCATGAGATGAATTATTAGCTACAACAGAAATAGTTTCCAGATCCCATTTCAGATGATACAATCTCCAAATCAGATTCCAAAATAGAATCTTTAATGCTTCTTTCTCATGCCACAAGATTCTGAAACTAATAGAATATAAATAACCTTGTCCAAGAGGCACATACTCTTCCAGGCTATATCTGAAGTGTACGGAATTTATCAAGATCAGAGCTTGATCTTGTGCATGGGATAGTCAAAGGAACTATTATGCTGCATTAAAAAAGAATCTTCTCATGCAAGTTAGTCCATTTTCATTCCCCCCCCATATGTATTTACAAGAAATCTATTTTTAGTTTTTTAAAACGTATAGTCTATATCTTGTTCTGGAGTTACAGTACTATTTTTCAGTTTATAACAATAGTTTAGTAAGATCAGACATGTATGGAAACCGATATTTGTTCTTTTGTTATTTTTTCCCAAGCCTAATAACTAAAAATAATACACCATATCAAATAGGGATTGCTTTTCAAAGTGTGTACAGACATTTACTTTAGATAACACATTGCATAAATTTCTGTATTGCTGCTTCCTATTGGTGTAGAAGCAGCAGTCACTGGAAATAAATGAGTGCCCACAGCATGGCTAATACAACCTTACGTCCACCCGTTTTAGTTCTGTTAAAAACCACTGTCTGACCCCCATTTTGAAAGCTCTAGTTTTTTCCCCCAGTATTCCACCAGAAAGCAGTAGAAACTGAAGAATCTGGAGGGCTTCATCTGCTTTTTCCTTCCTAGCTTTTTAAATTTTTAAATTTTTTTTTGAAGCATTACTTATTGTTTGTAAATAGTCCCCAAATCCCCTTACTTCTCTTACATGCCTTATGAAGGATTGGTCGCTATGCAACTAGAATGCATTTACTCAAACTATGTTGCTTATTATCTTCTCTCTCTATTTTTTTAAATGTTAATTTTATAAACTAACTTCAAAAAGAATGGTTTTTAGCCAGAGTGGATTTCAAAGACTCAGATTCTTTTATGATTTGAACTGAGCTAAAGCTCTTTATAACAGGCTTGACTACTCTTATCATAAAATCAATACTGTAAATAAATACATGATTTTTTAACTTGGCTTGGTAGAACAGAAAAATGTTCAAGAAGGAGAACATTACCGCTGGGGGGAGCCACCAGACTATTTGCAATACCTCTGTAGACCCTCAACTTTAAAAAATGGCTGAAATCTTGCAAGATCACCTCTTGAGGATTCTGACATTCTTACATGAGGATTGTGGATGAGAATCAGATGAGATTTTAATGTTGCATGAGAACTAGGAATTACATTTGACAAACCAGTGAGATTTTAGCCATTTTTTTTTTTTTTACGCTGAAGGAGGAGTACCTGCATTATCCACCATGTGAAAGAAGAGAGGTGAGAACATACAGGACACATGGTGGGTGAGAAGAAGGATCACAGTAGAGGTGCTGTGTCTGTGCTCTACACCTTTAGCAGAAGTCAGTTTAAACCTACGCTTTGCCAACTTGGTACCTTCCAAGTGTGTTAGAACTGCATTCTCTTCTGACTAGGATTTTATCAGAGCCAAAAGAAATTTCTGGGGTTTATTAGGAGATACTTAAAATATTCCAGGATACAATTTCTGAATTCCCTTCTGACAGAAATCACTTGAATACTCAGCACAGCCTTAATCAAGATTACAGCAGTAACATGCACAGGGCTTGGCACTTTGGTATCAGTAGCCTCCTACACACCATCCACACATCCACAATACTTTCACATAACAAATCTGCTCTTCCAGATCTCTGAGGAAGTGCCAACATATGGAGCAAGCACAGAAAACAAACCTGGGCTTGGGCTTCCTGTGAATGGAGGCAAGCAACTGAATGCAGCTCTCTCTCACACATAGGGATAACTGAAGGACACATTTCAATATAGCAAACCACTTCACAGACTCTTAACCATGGAGTTTTTGTTTGTCTTGTTTTGTTTTATTTTAAAGACAGACGGGAAAAATATCAGTCAGTGCCTAATCTGGATTCAAGGGTCAAAATGATTTGAAGGAGCACACACAGGTACGCACCCTAAGGGTCTGCGTAGCATCGTACCATCCCTCACAGAAGCACATAAGAGGTGGAGCTTGCTTGACATCACTCTAAAAGACCATCCCTTCACAGAAACATGAAGGGGTGAAACCTGGGTAACTTCACACCAGATTAGTTTACATATAGTACCTGCTGACTGTAGCAGGCAAGGGACTAAAAAAAAAGGGATTACTGGTCTGTTTAAAATCCAAGGTCCAAATGGGATTAGGGAGGGAGCAAAGATGGCACTGGCATACACAGATTTTGATTGTTGTATGCCACCCAGCGTTGCTTTGTATGAGATGGGCAGCTATATAAATGTGATGAGAGGTAGGTAGGTAGGTAGGTAGGTAGGTAGGTAGGTAGGTAGATAGATAGATAGATAGATAGATAGATAGATAGATAGATAGATAGATAGATAGATAGATAATGAAAATAGCTTTTTTTTGTAGCTACCAACCTCATCTCATTGCTGGGGCACCAGGAGAAGGAGGTTCTTCTTCAGGTAATTAGTGTGAATTAGGGCTAATTAGTAGGAATTAGGGTGAATTAATTATTAAAACCAGCACTGAATTGGGCTCAGAATCTTATTGCCAGTGACAAAATATAGAATGATATGTTTTTATTGGCCAAGAAAATTAATCTAGGTTGGGGTTATGCACAAGGAGACAGACTTAATTCTTAATAGTTGATATAACCAGAAGGAGCAGGTTAAGTTTTCAACCCAATTACACCCTTAAGACAGGGCTGACCATCAGATAGGATGAAGCCACTGCCTTAGGCAGCACATTTGGGGTGTAATGAGAAAGCAATATATTGTTAGCCATTTATTCTATTGCAAGGAGGATAAAATGTTTTATAGACAAAATAACACAACTAGGTTTTGAGTATTACACATATCAATTGTAGGGGAGGCTAGGTGCAATTTTTTATGCGTTGTCTCAAGCAGCAAAATATCTTAGAATGGACCTTTTCCTTTTCTCCCTCGTAATGGAATGGACACCATCTACAAAGGTTACAAACGTATAAAGATCAGATTTGTGCAGGCAAAGGGTTTCCCTGTGATGTTGAATGGAAGCAGCAGTTGGTCTTTGAAGAAGCAGGATAGGAAAATTATTTATGCTTTTGAACTTCGGTGTTGGAAAAAATTCCTGAGAATATCATGGACACCCAGGAAAACAAACAAATGGATCATTAAACAAATCAGCCCAGAGTTCTTACTCAAGGCACAAATGACCAGGCTCAAATTATCCTACTTTGGACACATTAGGCAAAGACCTAGCTTTCTAGAGAATGTTGGGAAAGGTGGAAGGAAAGAGAAGAAGAGAATGACCAGCAGCAAGGTGGATGGACTCAGATACAGTGGCAATGGGTGCACTGTTAGAAGGACCAGGTTAGGGACAGATCGTTGTAATAAAAATCTATCTATGTGTTTGCTAAGACTCAACACTGTCTTGATGGTACATAATCAATCAAATCAATCAACAATGGACAGAACCAGATTTTTGAAAAGCAGATCAACTCTTACTTTGCGGAATAGATATCATATCATAGTAAGAAAGAGGGCAAAAGAGGGTACAGCTTGGTCAGTTGTCAGGAATTATGGGAACTATTTCAAAATCTGCAGGGTCACAGGCTAAGAACCCTATAATAACTGTGAGATCAGATCAACTTTCTTTGATCTCATGCCCTCTACATGTGGGCTACTGTTACTAAATTTCCAGTTATCATGGTTGTTGACCATGTTGACTGACCAATCTGTGAGCTATATTCCAACCCACTGTGAAGGCACCAGGCTGGAGAAGGATAGTTTAAATAATATAACATAAGAAATTGCTTGTGGCAAAAAGAATAAATGGTTGACTTAGTTCTTCTGATCGCAAGTATTTAATGTATTTTAAACTATCACAGACTGTTAAATCCTGCTATTCTTATCCTGGAGGAGAAATGAGAAAATCAATCTTTAAAAACATTTGAAGTGTTACAGATTATCTGCCTAGAAAGTTCTTTAAAATAGAGCTACACACTTTCAGTACTGCTGGCAGAGAATTGCTCCATTGTATTATCAAAGCATGACAAATTCTGGCAGTTTTTCAGGATCCTTCCTTTAGCTTTTATGAAGTGATTGGCTACAAGGATTTCTGAAATAATGCAGCAGGCATAAGAGTGGAAAAAAAAACCAGAAAGAATATAACTCTGTGGTTTATTGGTACCTACATATAATCCACTTCTTCTTCACCCTTTTCTACATAAAAGTTGCCAACCACAACTAGGTCCTTTCTGGAGCAGAGTTAAAAAAAGAAGAACAAGAACTGGGGACAATCTGTCTTTGTGGTCATTAACATCCTGAGCTGAATCTTGCTTTGCTTTTTCAGAATGAGTGGGAGGGGGGTGGGGAACATAAGATTACTTGGTATTTTACCATTTTAATGGCGTGGCAAATTAATTCTTGGAGGATGAGAACAAAGCTAAGAACTTGCAAAGCTATGGAGTAAGTTGGAGAGCTAGGAAAAGCATCAACTTATTGTATCTCACATAACAGAAGCACAGTCCTCAGGAAACAAGATACCATTAGAGACTCCCAGCCTTTGAAGGAACTTGGTTTACAAGAGAAACACTGATTTTTTTTTTTAAGTACATGAGAAAACAACACAGGAGCCTTAATCCCATCAATTTGGGCCCCTGTCCTTTTCATTCCTCTCCAAATACCTTGAATGGCATCCAAATAAGGAGGAAGAGGGAAAGGGTTAGCTTCTGACTAGTCTGGTTCATTAATAACCCAAAATAAAAGTATTTCTAATTTCTGGAGTATAATCACTAAGATTAGCATCTGGCAGAATGTTAACAACTCTGCAAAAATGGATTTCTTATTTTCTGTAGGAAAATCAAGAAAAGAAAATGCTCTTGCTTTGACATAATCACAATCTGGGGAAAACTCTTTAGATCTCACTGCATTTGATCTGTGCACAAGAGGCCAACCTGAGTCCTTCTCCTTCAGGGGAATACTGTCTGCAGAACTCAAGTGTGAAAAAGTCGGTTGCTTCTAGGTTGCTGGTGCTCCATCGGATGGTGGCAGTATCCCAGCAGACAGTGCAGTCCTCTGATTTTATTTCAGGAGTCGGGGGAGCTGTGAATACAGGGGCATATTTCATGAATCACAAGAAAAATTACAACTGCTACAGTTTGTACACACCCGAAGTCTGGATATGATGTATCAGGACAACCAGTACTTTGTTTTAAATAATTATTTTAAAATATAGTTTTCCTCCATTTTTTTTTCCTCATGGTAACAGTCCCTCCAAATGAAATCCAGACATTTTTCTCCCAACCTATTAAAACTTTGCCATCTACACTTCATTGTTTGCTTTTTCTTCTCATTACAGGTGGTCCTCGCTTAATGATCATTTGTTCAGCAACTAGTCAAACTTACAATGGCACTGAACAAGTGGTGCTTACAGCCAGTCCTTGTACTATGACAGCATTCTGCAGTCACTGATCACCATTTGTGACCTTCACTGCTGGTTTCTGACAAGCAAAAGTCCATTAAGGGTTACCAAAAATAACATATCTATTTTAACCTTGATCAAATAAACCAAATTTACATTCCTTCCTTTTACTTTTAACAATCTTAACCTTTAGTCTATCCAAATAATGTCTTAAAACTTTATTTCTTTTCATTTTTTCTTTGTCCCTTCTA